CAAGTTCTTCAAAGAGGCCTCGCCAAGCGGCAGTATGAGTTCTCAACCTTGGCTCCTGAGCACGGTATTATCCTCCAGCAACCACCTGAACTCCGAACATCTCCAAACTGTAGCTCCTAAGCCCCGCAGGCACAGGCTTTCTTTGGCATGAAGCAGTGGCCGGCGGAAGAGTTAGGAAGCCTGGCGCTGAAGCCGTTGAAAGCAGGAGACTTGGGGGGAAGTCGGGGCTTTCTAGGGCTTTAGGACCTTTGGTTTGTGCAAGGCTCAAAACTTGAACTTCAGGACTTGAAGGCATCATTGCTCCAGGTTTCAGGACCTCGGGTTTCGATCGCTGCACTGGAATTGAGACGAACATGGATACGGAATAGTCCCGTAGTTGCTTATACTCTTGCTGTAATCTTTAGAGTCTAAGATCAGTGTAGGGAGTTGCAACGTGCATGTAGTGCGCTGCTGCCATCACTTGCCTATCTTGTTCATTCATCCGTGCATTCTGCAATCTTGGGCCTCCGTATCTACTGAGCACACCTGAACTTGAGACTCGAAACGCATTCCCTTGCCGCCAGCCCAACTCATCAGCTGCAGAATCTTCCAACATATCCAAGCAATCTGAAGCTCTAAAGCCCATGTTTGCCAGGACAGCTCACCTTCCAGGCCGGAGTCCCACGCAGCTAACGGATGCAGTCGATGCTTGGGTTTAGGTTTGAAGAGGTCTCGGGTATAGAGGGTTTGTCTATAGACAGCCATGAGCCTGGAAGCCTAATCGCACCCGTATCCCTGCCGGCAGAATCATCAAAAGCCTCCTGGCCCCAAACGCTCAGTTTGAATCCCCGAAGCCTACCTGCACTTAGCCCCGTGCTCCCCAAGCCTTTGAACAATCTCGTGGGTCTAGGCTCTAGGCACTATGCCCTAAGTCCTGTTATTCCCCAACACCGTGAAGCTGCTTAATATTAATCCTATTAATCCCTAAGTGCCACTGAAGCGTAGAGCTTAAATTAAAGCTCTAAACTCCAGCACCTCATCTCAACTCCCTACACATGGGTTCTCGTGGAGAGACCTGGCTGAGAGACCCTACCTTCGGCTCGGAGCATCAGGAGCAGCCTGGGCTGGACAGCAAGCCCCAGCTGTCTGCAATGGGCCTCACGACCGGAGCTGACTCTTTGCTGCAAGCTTCAGATTCACAGGCTTAGCTATGTAGGCTTTTGAACTTTCAGGTTTCACGGTTCATGCTGAGCAGTTTTGGGACATTTGAAAGCCAGGGGTCATGGCTTATGTGCTTGGGGGTGGGGTTAAAGCACTTGCGGGAGAAGCAACCGAGGACAGGACTGGCACGTGCACGATGCTATGTCATGTGCGTTGTCGAAGGGCGTGCGCACATGTGTGTGCGTGTGCGCGTGTGTAAATGTCTGCATAACTGTTTCTATCGCTGCGTATTCAGAGAGAGAGAGAGAGAGTATGTGTATACATGTACTGACATACATACATACATACATATACATACATACATACATACATACATACATACATACATACATACTTACATAGATACATACATACATATATACTGGTTAACATACATCTTCACATGCTACATAAGCATATATATATATACACATAGACATGCACATAGACATACATACATACATACATACATACATACATACATACATACATACATACATACATACATACATATATAGACATGTACGTACACACGTGCACGACATACATATTTACGCACACACACACACACACACGCACGCAATGCATACGCATACACAAACATGTACATATACATCCGCATATACGGACTGAGCATCACTTCAGACAAGGTCCGATACACGGACGACCAGCCGATGCCCAGTCTCTTCGGGTATCCTGCGTCTTGGTGCCACACACGGGCTTGGCTCAAGCTCTTGGCATGAGAGGAGTGTTCGCAGGTCACAGCTAGCAGGGAAGGGATTCCGCCGAAACGGTGCTTGTAGCAGTTCCCCACGCATTTCCCACATTTGCGGCCCAGGTACTAAGCGAGGTGGCGACGGGCAAGCTGGAGCACTTGGATCCACGGCTGCTCTGTGCACATCACAACTTGAATTGGCCCCGAACCCTCAGCCCTAAACCCTCAAGGACACGGCTCAAGCCTTCAAAGTGGTCGGTGTGGTGGACATCGTGACAGCATCGGATCCTTGGCCTTTTCCAGCGAGAAGCTTCAACGAGGAAATTAGGCAATACAGTTTCTACGCTTGCTTGCAGTATGCATAGGAGTCTTTCTGTAATTCGACTGCCGCTGTGATGACTGTTGCTGGTGTTGTCATGGTTCTTGCTCTGCTAGCAGTCCATTTTCTATTCTCGTGAGTATCACTTAGGCCGTACAGTTTCAGGGTTCCGAAGATCAGGGGGCTTCGCGAGTACTCTTTTACTGTATGAGTACTAGTTGCTTGGTCTCGGATCCTTTACGTAGGACCGGAAACCTGGCTTGTAACTTAAGATGTCCAGGACGTGCCAGGGAAGAACGATTGTGGCTTCGCTGCAGGCCGCTTCATCTAGGGTTTACAGGGCTGCAGGGCTTGGATGATGATGAAGATGATGAATATGATGAAACCGGCTAAGTGAGTCCAAAACCCTTGGCACCAGAGCCGATTCCTCATGATTCTATGATTGTATCTGTATCTTCCGAGACAGCAGCTTAACCTAACCGCCCTAACCCAAGTCAGGAGCTCGCACTGAACTTTACCGCCTAAGCGCTTGTGCTTGAAGGCACATGGGTAGCTAAGAGTGGCTTTATATTAGATGTATACGACGGTTGTGCTCGTGGTTGTTGTGGTAGCCGTCGTTGTTGCTGTTGTGGTCGTGGCGGTGGTGGTGGCGGTGGTTGCTCTTGCTCTTGTTGTTGTTTTTATTGCGATTCATATGCATCTTATACGCTTACGTATTTCGTGTTAACACATTGCTATTGGTGTGTGGATTCGGGATCATGGGCAGTTGCAAGCGGGGACGAAGAATGGGGGTCGAAGTGCCATACTTGAGGTTGTATTGTAATGGGCAAATGAAGAAGCACTTGTTACTTGCCCTAGAAGCGACAAGCAACCAGCTCAAACCCCGTTGCGCGCAGGCAACTCCCAAATACCCTAGACGGCCCATTGCGCCACGGCGCGCCAGCAGCGCAAACTGAACTTCTCGAGCGGCACGTAGCCTTGCAGGAGAGGAGCCGGTCTTCGCCTGAACCTCAGAGAATCGCATGCATAGTGAGGGCTTCGGTGAGGTCTAGAAGGGCTACGTTTACGTCCGGGTTAAGTAGCCGATAAGTGGCGTTGCAAGGAACCTGCCTAGGGCTCTGGGTACACGTGGTGACAAGTTGCCACAACACATGCACCTCTGAGTGCTGAGTGCAGGTCTTCTGTTTTGGACAGAGGGACTGCAGGCAACGACGTTTTGGTGTTTGCTTCATTATTGTGTTGCTTCTCAAGGATCTGTCTTGAGCTTGTGCTGATGGTGAGGTTTTGCAGTCTAAGGCAAAGTGTGATCCCGAAATGAACAAGCCGTAAGCCTTCAGGCTTCAATTCAGCCTGTAAGAGGCAATGCCATAAGTCTTTTTCTTGGATAGTTTTATTACTTGGAGGGCGACTGATGCTGTTGTTGCAATCAATCTCCCCTACTGGTGCTGGTGACGGCCAGCCTGCAGGCTGGTGGCTGGTGCTGGTGTTAACGCAGGTCACAATTGTTGCGTGTGTGTCGCTCGTGTGTAAGAAGTGCAACCAACAGCCATTGGCTTTCGACAACACCCTGGAGATGTTCTCAGGTGGAGATCGGCGGGAAGCTGGGCTGCATTGAGGGGTGCAGAGTTTGCAACTTTGGTTGGATTTCGGGTTGTTTTGGGATGTTGAATATTTAGGCAGTCCATTCCAGCGAAGTATGATGAACATCTCTGTCAGCAAAGAAGACTTTGTTGCAGAAAGGAAGTCTCGTTCCCGGGCTTCATAGGTTTTGAGTCAAAAGTTTGAGTTTGTGAATTTGTCCAGTGTTTGGGTTAAGGGCTTCGGGTTTGGGTCTCATCCAGGGCTCAAAAAGGCAGACCTCTCAGGCTTTCAGGCCCCCACCACATGAGGCCGCTGCTGGCTTGGTCTTTGCAGGTGTTCTGTTGGTTGAGGTTGAGGTCTTGGAGAACTTGAGCCAAAGAAAGGAACATTATGACTGTGGGGCAGCAGATCGCCTTGGTTGTGGCCACCTCCTACCGTGCGGCCAAGGCTCCGTTACCACTGTTAGTCATAGTCTCATTGGAACTGCCATCATCGCAGTTGCTGTGAGTCAGATCGGAGAAGCATCGCGGCTCCTCGGCATGAATCCAACACTCCAAGTCAACCGCCGGCAGGCCGGCGCCGCCGCGGTGCAGATGAAGATCTCCGGAGCCAACGAAGGACCGGGGCTTCGAAAAGGAGCCTCAAAGCTTAGTGAGATCAAGGCACCTCGATGACTCCATACTCGCGGCGGTGGTGGTGACGCTGGCGGCGGCGGCGGCGGCGGTGGTGGTGGCGTTGGTGGTGGTGGGGATAGGGTGGTTGAAGTAACTTTGAGTGTTGTGATGTTGTTGTGAAAGCGTTGCGCTCTTCCCTGCTGCATTGCACCTGGTAGAAGTTGGCTGATTATGCTGGGTATGCCTGCGCAAGTGGAGGTGACAACTTAAGAGGACCTCTTCTTCATCTTATCAAGCATCTTCACTAGCATTGTTATCCTCCTCTACATCGATTCCAAAAGTACAAGGAATTTTTTGAGTGTTTACTTGGGCCCAAGGGCTCGGCCCCAACAAAAAAGCAGAAGAGGCCGATGCGGGAAGGCACACAGGTCTCAGGTCTTTGGGGGAACCGGATTGAGTGCTCCTGTTTTCTCAGACGGCAACTTAGGGGTTCTTCCAACGTAAGTGCAGACCCATGTCGGCCTCTTGTGGCCAGTTGCTATTCCTGCCAAAATGCCGGTTTAGAGTTTTCCACCACACCGTTGTCGGAGAGGTGCCATCATCACCCTCGACCAGGCCATAGCGGCAGAGTCCTTTCTGGAGAGTTCCATCCTCAGACTCTGCGAGAGCGACCTCGGAGCTCAATAAATCTAAAGGCCCAGCCCCCCGGCAAGGTGCCCACTTCAAGAACTCCATCAACAAAGGAGATTTGGAAGCAGGCTATTCGAGCAGCGACCTGGCCGGGCCCCCAGTTTTGGAGCTTCAGTTCTTCCGGCGAAGGGGAAGGGGGGGCAGCTCAGCGAGGTCTTTGAGGGGTCCACCTACGTCATCGGCCAGCATGCCTTCCCGATGGAGAAGCAGACGGCCTTGGCCGTACCTGAGGAAAAGAAGGGTATGACTGTGGCCTGGCAAATGGTACCGTTTGAGTTAATCCAAACCCTCCGACCAGTGCCTTGAGGCTCCTGCTCGTCCTCGGGCCCTGGGCCTGCCTACTCAACCTGTCTTGAATCTTCTTGCAAGGTCTGGCATTCCACGCAAGGCCATGACTTCACCAGGGGAGTGCAGCTTAGCAGAAATGTCGCACAGCAGTGAGGGTTCACTTGAAAAACTAAGAACCTCAAGCTCTGCACTTTGATACGTAACCCCTGACACACGGAGTCGGATTGCCGGACCTCCGCCCAATCCCCTGCTCTGGACTCTATTCAGCTTCCAAACGCACAGGCTGGCTGGCGTTTTGGGCATCCCTGGATCCTTCGTCGTCTGCAAGCAGACTCGCGCCGGCGGCGCCTTGGGACCCAAAGCTCTTTCGGATCATAGGCTTGGGGGGAGAGCCCCAAAAGCATGACGCAATTCAATCTGTAAGCCGCAAACTCGCGAAAGGCGTGAAGTCCTTAAACCGTAGTCTTGCACCCGCAAGCAATCGAATCCTAAACCTGACCTAGGCGCCTTTGGCCCCAAGAACAGTCGACAAGCGCCGGTGGCCGCCATGGCCGCCGTTGCTGCCCACAAGCTCCTGGGCGCTTTGGTCCGGGGTGGAGGGTTCAGGGCGGTTGTTGTGTATGGCAGCGTTTGGGTCAATGGTTCCTATGTTTTGGAGCGTTGGAAGTCGAAGGTGGGTGGCGTTCGGCTAGCGGACGATTCGACTAGGCTTAAGGCCGCCCCGCATACGGACGGTTATGCATAAAGGAGATCATAGATTAAACCATGTGGTCGAAAAGGACTAGACTTGATGGCCTTTGTCGCAGGTTGGAGAAAGCTGTGCGCGTGGCCTACGAAGCGACACTGGAGCAGAATGCAGTTGGCGGACGGCATAGTTTCAAGACTCAGTACAAGGCGCGTCAATTTAATCATAGTGGAGATGTCCACTACCGGTGTATCGCGACTGCTGTGACTTTTCTGGTTTCGAAGGAACATCACCGAGGACGGTATCATGATTATCGTTATTCATCTTGTCCAGTATGACTACTTTTGAGTATGATTATGACGATGTCGGGAATGAGACTTGGCATGATCTTCCCTGCATGGCTGCAAAGGACTCTAGGATTTCTTCAGAAGTGACGCCTGCGAGTTGACAGTCCAGCCCCAAGCAAAGCCTTACAAGGAGCCGTACGACACGACAAATACCGAGACAACGCTGCCAACCACCCGAGAGTCTCTGAAGAGACACCTTACAACATCACAAAGACACGGAATATGAACTGCAAGCGACATATCTAGAATAAAACCCCCGGGCCAAGCCTATGCCTCTCATTGCAAGCTGACGGTTTGATAGCAGTGGGCAGGTGGGCGTCAACAAGGACGGCAGAATCCAAGCGCGGCTCGGTGTGTTTGGGGTGTTTTCGTGGTATGGATGGAGTAGAGAGTTCAGGGCCCAGGGACACTCTCAGACTTGACACCAAGCACAGCCAAGCAGAATCGAGACATCAATAGACCTCAGCCTCCAAGGTGCGACATCGAGTCGTGGTGCAACGGTGGATGCACTCATGACTTCACGGGATTCTTGAATCTGGAGATGGGGGAAGCGATACCCTCTGTTTACGACTGGCCCAACATGCGAGTCAACGTTCATGTTCCTTGGCCCGCAGTTCTGCAAAAAGCCAATCTCTACGAAGTCCGAGACCTCAAGTGAGTTCGCGTCTCCGAACATCTCCGAACTACCGCAGGGTGCCGGCAACCAACTTCAACACTTCTGGAGCCTTGCTGAGTTATTGCTGAGGCGATGAAGACCAACACCCCGAGCAACACGGCCGTCCGCTCCTTTGGTAGCCCGCAAGGACCCTCGATTGACAGTCAAGGTGGGATGATGATGACGATGCTGTATGATGATCCTCATGGTGATGGTTATGCCGATGGTGGCAATGACCACGGTGATGACGATGGTGGCCATGTTGCTCTTAATTGATAGAGTTCTTCGAAGTTGTTCCTTGCTGAACATGTGGCCTGCAGCCTTTTCTGACTGTGAGTGGCAGCTTGTGGCCCTGACAGTCCATGCCTCGCTGGTTCACCTACTGACTAGGACTAGGTGATGGCCGCTGAGACGGGTCTTTATACGTCTTTATCGCAAAGCATTACTACCACAGATGAAATACCCGACATTTAACGCCCCAATGTGGAGCAACCGCTGCCACCTAGGATATTTCATCTGCGAAGCAATCATGGAAGACATCGCGGGCAGGCAGGCAGAGTGCAATTAAATCTGGGCTTGGTTTGCTGGTGTTGCTTGATGTGGCTCAACGCGTTGCTGCCAGCGGGTGCTGTGCTTTTGTGTATGCAGAAGATGCCGACAAGCTTGACGTACAAAATGTTTGCCGCCTCGCACTACGTTTACTGGCATTGCGCATGTCTGGTTATGACAATGTCATGACTCATGACTAGCACTGCTGCCATTATGTTTTTTTGTTTTTTTGCGAGGTCACCCGCGGTCACCCGAGAATGGCTGAAATTAAGTTACCGACCTGATCCTTAATGTTCGTAGTCCGCTCTGGGGCTGGCAAGCAGTTTGTTTTGCTGCTCCCCTCCCTCCCTGCTCCCGTTTCCCCTCAACGAGTCGAAAACTGTTTCATCGAAGTAGGTCCGTTTGCCGCCGGGCTCAATTTGCCAAGCCAAAACGCACGAAACGAGCCTGCTTCAATATGTAGGTTTGTTCCTGTGCTACCCTCCCTCGCTGGCCTTCTTTTGAAAGAGCCGAAAGAGGCCAACAACTACACTGTTTTTAATGACATGATTCGTTTTTGTGGTCACGGCGCTGAACTCATCGTGTCCCATCCATAAGCTCAAAGAGCCCGAAACGAGCCTGTTTCAAACGGAATAGGAACCCCCAAACCCACGCAGCTTATTTGAATCAGACTTGTTTTCAAACCCAGCCATGCTAGAGTCAGATAATGTCGGTAGGATTTAAGGCTGTTTAGCGACCCGACCCGATGCTTGAATGTAGTGTAGTTTGTGAGCCGGCCCGACCCGACCTGCGGTTAAGTTGGAGTTTCTAGTGGCTCAATATTATTGTTCTAGTCCTATCGTTCCCACTATCAACGCTGCTGTCTTTCGTTTCTTCTTCTTTCACTGGAGACTGGCTGCATTTGACAGGCTGGGCAAAGTGCCCGAGGAAATCCGAGAGATCAATATGTGCACCAAGCAGAACGCTGTGACACCCTGGGGCCAGCCAATGGAGTTCTACAATGACGCTGCCTCAGTTCATTCAGTTCCGAGGTGTTACAGGGCCGCATAGGTTCCGGGTTCTCCTTATGAGGATTTAGTGAAAAAGGCTGCGCTGATGCGGCGGCTCAGTTGAAAGGGCTCTTACGGCCTCCCATGGTCGTGCTTTGTCTGTCGGGGTAAGGGCTTCGAGTCTTACGCAGACCCTGACCCTGACTCTGGGTGCGGGGTGAGGAACCTGCATGTCAGTCTCTGGGGATGTGAACTGCATCCTGTGCCCTAAGGCTTAAACAAAACATCCAGCCCTCGTAAACTCCAAAGCAAACCGCAGCGGCTGATACCAGTCATGTTGCAATGCAAAGGTCGACACCCTCTGGAACAAGCTGAAGCAGGCGTATTTACGGTTTTGGATGTAGAGTTTTGGATTTAGGCCTCATGGGCTCGAGCTTTTAGCAGTTCTTCGGGCATAAGGTTTGTGTCTTACCCACCCAACCCCGCCACAGTCGTGGTTGCTGCTCTCAATGCCCTGCCCCTTTTCGTTCTATTTGCATCCGTGATGTCCATTGTGCATTGGGTTGAAAGCTTGGGCAAGAAATCCGTCTGGTAGGAGCCATTCCTTAAAACAAGAAATAAGGCTGGAATTTTTGTTGGCGGGTCACCCAAGAACCCAGAAAAGGAATAGAGATCCAAATATGCTGTTTGGGCAAGGATCCAAAAATACCTAGACAGTGCCAGGGAGCTTTCCGCAATACGAGGATAGAAGCCCACCTGTGTGCATTATGCGTATTCATACACTTATCGGCGCCTTCTTGTCTCATTTTCCCAAGCTGAGACAGGCGTTTGGGAGATCGCTTCTCGAAGCTGAAGGGAGCCCAAGTTTACATAGGTTTAGTTTTCGGATCTGAAGGCCTTTGTGGGAGTGCTAATGCCGCCCAGTGGCGCAAGCTTTCCCACGCACAGTCAACAGTCAGTACTCGGAGGACCTACCCCCTACAAGTCGTGTTGCCGGGCAGCTGAAACGGCATTGATCGTTTTGGATGTTCTCTACGGCGCCCACAGGATGCGAAGTACGAGGAACGGGCGAAGTCTTGCGAAGAGTTCAACAAGACCAACCGTTGGCGGAAACGCGCCATCAGTGACTGCGTCTGAAATTTGGAATCCCTAAACCCTTAGTCCCCACACTCTTGTAAAGCACTTTTAGGTCATGACAGGCTAACAAGGGGCACTGTTTTTTCTGGTTGGCCTCGTTTGCCCTCATTCATCAGTTCTTATCACGATCATGCTCGGTCCGTCTGTCCGTATCATTTTCCAATTACAGTTCTTCTTGTTAGCATGTGTGCACATATCATGATCTCGCTGGCGCTGCACATGAGCCACGGCAACTGTTAGATCTGTCAGCTACTGTCACTGCTGCATGTTGACGGCCTGAGACTTGCATGCAGAGTTCAGCTGCAGTGCGAGTGTTTCGCTTCAACGACTACATAGTCGTAAAAGAGTCTATGAACCGTAAGAACCAGTAACAGCCGTAAGCATCTTATGAATGTTGCCAGGCATCACTGACGATCAACGAAACACGTTCAGCACAGCAGCAGCAGCAGCAGCAGCAGCAGCAGCAGCAGCAGCAGCAGCAGCAGCAGCGGCAGCAGCCATCCCTCTCTGCCTTTGGTGCGATTTGACATTTCCGGGCTAGGTGCCGTGCCACTGGCCTACGGCCACTGCTACGCCTATGCAGCAGGGACAGGGGCACTGGTCAACATCCACGGCCCCTGGCCTCAACGGGGCTGCAGCGTTCAAGGTCCGGGGTTCAAGGTTTGGAGGGTTTGGACAGTTTGGAAGACTTACTGTTTAGCTGCTAGTCTTGCTCGAAACTAACCCTCAAGAGGCTCCCTACTTACGGCTTCGACTGGCCGGCTCCAGTCGTTTGTTGATTTTGTTGATCAAGCATGTTCGCTACTTGTGACGCAGGCCAGTATCTTTCAGGGCGGCATTGTTGTGTTGCGATGTTGCCGTTGCTGCCAGTACCACACGCGCGCGGGCGCAGGAACTCGGCAAAAGCGACTACCAGTTAGAACAGATGCATGTTGCGACTGTTGCCAAACTTGAGGCTCTGACGGGTCTGTCACAGTTCATCACGGTGGCTGCGAGATCGGACAAGGACGCAGGGAGAGAATTGTATGTCAATGCATATGAGTCCTTGGACCCCAACCCGCCATATTCCGCAGAAAACTCTGGTCTTCGAGCGCGAGTGCTTGCAGGAATTCACACGAAGGTGGCACAGGTGGTTGCGGTTTCGCTTGGATGTCCACTCGACCATGTTCGCGTCGCCGACACCAACACCGAGGTGTTCTGTTTGCCAAAGTTTGCCTGTACTGCATTTGCATCAGCGATGATGTGCTTTCTCTGCTGCCCCCATGATACTGACTGTTGGCTCCGATGTTCCTGGCAAATGCCGGTCTCTGGGACTGGCAGGATGTCCAAGCTTTTCTGCCACTGATCTGGAAACCCCAGACCCCTGTCTCTTCGCCTGCGCCCATAGCACTAAGCCCACTGCAAGGTTGTTCCAAACGCACGCTTCACGGGTGGATCCATCACCACGGAGGTGGTCTGCGAGGCTGCAAGACAGGCAAGGGCCTGAGGCTTAAGCCCACAGATGGCTCTCAGGTGACAAGGATGAGATGCATGCTAATTACTTCGCATGCTACTTCTGATAGAGGAATCAATGCAAAGACAACTGCCAGAGTGATGGACCTCTCTTCAAGCTGAGCTGCAGGCCTGCAAGCAGCTCTTGCAGACTCTCAAGCCCCACAAGGAGTTCCTAAAGAAGCGGGACGGCAAGGAGCCCCAATTGCAGTCTGAACAGAACCGTCAGAGTCAGAGTCATGGTAGCAAAAGTTGTGGTGATAGAGACGACACCACCACGAGGTAATGAGACGACAGGTGCAATGTCAGCTGTGTGCGGCAAGGATAAGATTAATCCCAACCGCAAGCTGTGAATGTCGCTTGCACAGAAGGGCCAGTGATAATAATGACTTAGTAAGGACCGTTTCGATGTTCAATGGTAGCTTTCGATTCTCGTGGTGGGGCTACATCTGTATTCAGTGAACGCGTGGTGCAGACAAAGTCCTTCCAGTGCACTTTCTCTCAAGATGCTGATGTGGTCGTGGATGGTATTGGGCGAAGAATATGATGATGGTGATGCGGCTGCTGATCAAACGATGGTGAGGATGGTGATGATGATGATGATGATGATGATGATGATGGCTGGTGCTGGTGCTGGTGCTGGTGCCCCGGCTCGTGCAGGTGGTGGTGTTGAGTGGTGGCTATGAGCGAAGGTGCCCGTCGTGGTGCTGGGTGGTGATGAAAGCGCGTCAAGGTAATTCACGGCGATGGTGCTGATTACGGCGACGATCTGCATTCTGAGTAGGTTTCAGTTTCAGGAGACGGATTAAGGCTTAAGGCTACCCAAGAATCCAGTCGCTCGTCTAGTTACGAGCGTCTTCCTCTACGGGCAGCAGCCGCGGTTTGAAGGCTTGACGCTCAGGGTTGAGCTGAGGGCCTGGGTCTCTGTGAGTAAAGAACCTAAGACTCAGGTGTCTCTCCAAAAGGATATTGCATGTTGGACCCGACAATTTTCAAAACCCCTTAACCCCCACAACGGAGGATCCGTCGTGGCCAGAGCTGGTTGCGGCAGCCAACACACTTCTGGGTCATCAGGAGAAGCTCTCAGCGACAGGCAGGCCAGAGCGGATTATTTTCCAGGATACCATGGTTGGACCAATCGTTGCCGACATGGTCGTGTCATGTCATGTCATCCTTGTTGGGGTACGTTGTTGTGATTGCTGCGTGCTTTTGTTCAGGCATCTTTGCGCCAACTGGCAACAAGCCGCCTGGCTGCAAGGAAAGTCAGAGCGGCAAAGATAGCGAGAGATAGGCCTGAGAGTTGCTGCTTCTCCGCAGCTCACTAGAAGAGAACTGCACGCCCTGCGTGCTGAGTCCACGATAAGCAAAAGAGGGTGAGAGTGCGGGAAAGAGTGGGGAAGAGAGAGAGAGGGACGGAAATCCTGCGATGCCAAGGCGGCCAGATTACAGTGAGCCATGTCCCCATCCGGCAGGTACACCACTGATCTGGAGGGAAATACGCTGGGGCAGCATCACGGAGATTACTTCACGTACGGAGCAGGCACCCCCAAACACACTATGCCTGATGAGTCCATTTTTTCTCCCTGCCTTGCATCAGGAATTTCAGAAGTGGAGCTGGACGTTCTGACCGGCGAAGTCAGGAGAGCCGCTTTCTGATTGTCTCAACCTTTGAAGTTCGGCCTGTGTTAAGGACCCTTCGCTCGGACATCCTGTATGACGTGGGCCAGTCGATTAATCCCGGCATCGACATCGGCCAGCTGGAAGGTGCTTTCGTTTGGGGTGGCTCGGATTGCAGGTATGACGCAGCTGAACAGGTAGCGTCTTGAGTTGCAAGGATGCCTTGTAGCCAGGAATTGGCTATTACATGTACGAAGAACCTCTCCGCGACACGCGTGGAGTGGAGCGTTCTCAGGGTGTTTGGGCTTACAAGCCACCAATGGCCGCCGAAGTGCCCACGGAGCCTCTTGGCTGGAAGTGTTGCTTGAAAGTCTCCTTTCCGCTAAAAATCGTCGACTATAACTCAGTCCTTTCTCGACAAAGCTATGGGAGTTTCGGAATGTTAAGTGGCCCTACTCCACAATCTAAACCCTAGCATAGTAGAGTTTCCATTGTTTGTATCTTAACTTCTAAAGTCTTGTTGCTCGGGGTGCAGCTCTCTTTCCTCTGACAGTCCTGGGTCCTTGATCCTGAACTTAAAATCCTTAAGCTTGCCAGAGCCCTGCAATGGAGCCGCCTTGGAGTGAACCTCTTGCAGCCTGACCTTAACTGCAAGCCCAGATTCCGGGTGGAGCTTCTGCGGGACAATCCCTTCCCAAAGGGGGTGCTGGGCTCCAAAGCGATTGGCGAGCCACCGTTTATGTCACTTGCCTGCATCGGGTGTTCCAAGTTGGCCTCGTAGCAGAATTCGAAAGCCCAACCCCTAAGAGGAAAACCTGCCAGCGGTGCCCTGAGGCTGGCATACAGTGTTCTTGGAGCAACCAAGAAGGCGGGGCTTTTCCCCAAACATCCCTACATTCCAAACCTTAAATGCAATTAAAACACAAGTCCACCCCAAGCCACAAACCTTGACCGTATAGGGTCCCGAGGCAAAGCTTTGGACTTTGTCCCCGGCCTCAATCAGTGAACTCTTCACCCCGAAACCTCACTCTAGACCCGGAAAAGCCCGAAAGCCCTCACGTCGTGGTGGGGAGGCCATCGCTTCTGCACGTACAGACGCCGGCTTGAGCCAGCATTTCAAGCTGCCCATGCCGTGCACCCTCGATGCCATCCACCAGGCAGGACGGGCCACTGCACAGATAAAGATACGAACGACTACACACCACGTGTATCCCCGGAGTCAGACTGCAAGGAGCGGATCGAACAGTCAAAGTCTTCGCCTTGCTTGTGCAACTGCGCTTCTGCTTCCTTTCTCGAAGCCAGCACTACAGATTTGGGCCAGCTCTTGATAGCAGCTAGCTGCACTGTCACTGCCGGTACAAGCGACAGACATCTGCTTACACCAATTCCGAAGCATTTTCCCTCTTATGCCCTGTAAAACTATAATGCAATGCATTGCCTTACCGGAGTCATACACCTGTTGTAGATTATGAAATTATATGCTGTGCTCAGGGAAGTATCTCTTTACATAAGTAATACCGGGACATCCCTGTCTCCCTCTCTCTCTCTCTGTTTCTTAGCCTCTCTCTGTCTGTGCCTCTCCCCTCTCTCTCTCTCTCTCTCTCTCTCTTTCTAGCTCACTCTCTCTGTCGAGCATGTCGAGCTACAGCTGCGGCGATATTAGTTCGATCTTATGAGCTTCTCATGCGGTCATTGTGAAACGGATTAGAAGCCCATCTTGAGATCCTTGAGGCCTGTGGTGTGACATCGTCGCAGTTTAAATGCTAGTGAGCTGTCTGGGACGGGCCGCCCGGATATTTTGGTCCTGCGTGCCCCGTCCTAGGATGGCAGGTGTACAGAAGTTGCGCCCTAGGTTTTTTCTGCCCTATCGTCAGGTGCGACCTATCGCTGAAGTGCAGTTCGTGCACAGAAATGCAGTGCGTGCATGCAAGATGTCCAGTGGGCACATGGCCCCAAGCAGACAATTTGCACGGAGGAGATTGCGTGCAAGCCGTTTTTGTTGCTTCCGCCTCAGCTGGCTGCAGCGAGAACAGCTTCCTCGATAAGTGCACATGCTACTCGTAACCTGTGTGAAGTGTTGTATGCGTTGCACCCACTGGAAAACACTCGGATGTGGTGGCAGTACACGGCTGCCATGTCAACTGTGCACCATAGAGGTCCTCAGCTTAGTACAGAACACAAAATACATGTAAATGCGTTTGCAATCGATGGATGCCGTAAATGAACATGCATACATGCGTGCATACCTACGCACGTGCATCTACCTACCTACCTACCTACCTACCGACCGACCGACCGACCGACCGACCGACCGACCTATCTACCTACCCACCTACCTACCTACCTACCTACCTACCTACCTACCTACCTACCATGCAGACAGACAGACAGACAGACAGACAGACAGACAGACAGACAGACAGACAGACAGACAGACAGACATACATATGCACGATCTGTATGCATGTATGTATGTGTAAGAGCGACAGACAGACACACAGACAAACGCAGAAACAGACACTCAGTCAGACAGCCAGACAGACCGACCGACACACAGAAAGAGACATGCAGACATACAAATCCAGGTGTTTCTGTATGCGCATGAGGGCATGCGCTTGCGTGTCAGTGTCTCATATTTCAAGCTATGTAAGTAGCCGCAGGCTCACACAGCTGGATAAGAACTGATTGCAAGCCCCAAGCCCCTGCTCAGCACACGCTATTTGGTTTTGGTAGAGTCATTCATCCTGCTCGCGCCATGAATGGAGACTGGAGTGTGAACGAGGCAGCGGTTTGAACACTGAAGCTCAGTTGTAGCAGTGCCATGTCATGTGTGGCCCCGCAGTTAGGCCGTAGTTCTGACCATGCATCGGACCTCCGAGCCCGAAATGCAGAAATGCGCTTAAATGGGCGTGCCTCAGCCCGTACTCTCGTTCGGCCCTGTCTGTATCCGCCGGATGGAGGGCTGCGCATCTGCCCAAGATCTCCGTGCAGAGCTGCAGCAGCTTGATGCAGAACTGGCTGAGGCCTCCCCTGAGCTCGACAGACCTCTATAGGCTTGAAGATTCTTGGTTCAGAACCAGTTTAGAATGTTGCAGCAGAGCCCTTCAGCGCTGAGCGATTGGACTTGGATTGCAAGGCACTTTTTTCTATGTACTATAGACTATAGACCTCACATTCCCAAGTCTCTGCTTTTTCAGTAGAGATCGCCAGCCGCCCTGGATAGGGAAAAGAACAATCCGCAGCCCTGCTGGGCCTTGACTTGGAACTTTGACCCGAAGTCCTCATCCCTGAACGTTACGAACGGTTGAATGCAGCCGCGGGTAGAACAAGCAGCACATTCGATCGGCTGATTCGATCGGCTAGGCTGCCTGTCGCCTTTGCACCTCCAACTCCACCCAACCCGAAGCCCAAAATCCAAATCCTGTCGAATAACACTGATTAACCTAAGCCCTAATAGCCTAAGCATTTCAGAAACTTTTATTGCCTGCGGCCTTGAAGTCGTACTACGGAGGCCACACTTTTCTTGCAGCAGCAGCGGCACGCCTTCACCGACCAGGCCAGGCAACTGCTACGGCGGGTCTTGAGGGCTGTCTTTTCAGGACTTGATTTTGCAGGGTTATTCGGTGTTGAGGTCATATGGGTTTCTGACGAGCAAATACGAATGCGAAGACAGGGAGCCTCGCCTTCAGAAATCACGGGAGAGCATGCCGAAAGCTGGTACCCACTTCGATCGAAGGTAGCGAGACAAGATGGCCAGCATGCCAGAACTGCGGAAGAGGCCAGTCCTCCTGCGATGAGCATGGTGATGAATGTGCCGAGATACTGCCGAGTCACGAGCCAACTCTTACCACCTTTTCTCAAGCCTTTCCTGCAACGCTCAAGCTCAGGTCAACACGGCCTTGCAAGAACTGGAGGCGCATCCGCGTATGAGTTTTGCAGTTTTTGAAAGTTCTGGCCCCATCTGGCCCCATGACGCAGGCTGAGCGATGGCGAATGGACCAAACTCACAGAGAGCTGGAGTCCGAAAGCGCAGCAACGAGCCTGCGATCAGATGTCGCTTTATCGGCGTGAAAGCCTGTCGCCCCCTGCATCGAGGAAGCCAAGAGGTTGGAAGCCATGCTTCGGGCTCAGCTATCGATCGTAAGATGCTTCGAGCCTGTCATGTCAAATTAGGTCAAAATCACCACGTCATGGTCGTCATCTTGGTCTTCATCTTCTCCTGTACTCCTCGTCCTCCTCCGCAACTGCCCCTCCGGAGTACCATCATCGTCACCGTTGCCACCAACCGCCATCAGCATCGTCGTCGTCGTCATCTGTCGTGCTCGGCGTATTGATCATCATCTTCTTCTTCACCACCCTGATCACCATCGTCATGGCGGTCATCATCATCATGACAAACATCATTATCAGCATCATCAGGAGCATCAGCCATACTCGTCACCGTGCACCACACATACTTCGTGATCAGCATCGTCTTCTGCGCCTTACTAAGCTCATCCTCATCAGCCTGATTAACAATATCATCATTTCCATGTTGCTCATCGCAAGGCGCAGTACTCCTCCTCCTTCTCCTTCTCGGCCCGATTGTAGTCCGTGCAGACAGCGCAAGGTGTGCGGAGTTGGAGACCAAGCTAGCCACCCGACCGCAGTACCGCACCCCTCAAGGCCTCAAGGTCAAGAGGCGGCCTGAACCCAAAAGCCGGCAAGCCCCGAAGCTCAATCCCAATGTTCCCAAGTATTCATGTTGGCTGTGATGGCTTGTCTGCTTATCATGAACAAGACCACGAGGATGAGGATGATGATGATGATGATATTGGGTCTTGTGTCATCCTGTCGAGATCAAGGCATTCAGAAGGGTCGTGGATGCCCATGACCGTGTACTAGAAGCGCCTCGCGGCCCAGGACCTGCGGCCTGAAGGGCCTGAAGTCAGCGCAGACTTTGGGCAGGAGTGGAGTGGGAGCGCTGGCACATCACAGCTTGGTGATTTCCTATGTGGGCGACAGAAGGAACGGTGAACAATCTGGGGGCTTGGGAACTCCACAACTCGTAGTTGGTGTAGTGTGCTATATAGTCGTCGTATGAACACGTCACATGTCCTGTTGCCGCAGTGGCTAAGCTTGTCATCATTTTCGGGTAGCAATGATAGCATTGCAGATCTTCTGCCAAGCTTCGCCAAAGCTCCGCTTCAACTGCGTGCGGCGGGTGCAGTTGCGGCTGCTGCTGCCGTCGCTCGTATTGCTGTCGCTGCTGCCGTTGCCGTTGCCGTTGCCGTTGCCGTTGCCGATG